CCGAAAGAATTTATACCAGAAATTAACAAACAAGCAGATACGCAACAATACCAATATAACAAGAAACATTCTGCTATTGTTAAATCTGTACTAAGTTTCTGAATGCTAATATAAAGCACACGAGCTGATATTAATTTGTATTTTAAACTAGCTTCACAACTTTAAACTTAAAATGTAAATAACAAAACACTTAATGCTTAATATCAAATTCATGGTTTGCTAATTTTACATTCCTCATATTCTAGGTAAATTTTGTACGTTTTGCAATAAAATAATTGTTAATCTTAGAAGTTGATATAACTAGTGGCATTGCTATTTTAAATTACTTTTACCCTTAGCAATATTTGTGATACCACCTTTTGTTATTGCTCACACGTCAAAAGAAAAAGAGTAGAGTATTTCTTGCAATTTCATGATGACGTCATCATGATGAGGTTGAGGATTTGGACAGTGCGATTGAAGTGGTGTTATTCATATGAAAGTGTAAAGTTCTAACCTATTAGTTATAGTAAGTTGCACGGTTACAGATGGTTTGAATGAGCTTTCAGTTTGAAGTGGAAATCTGAACTTGTGTTACCAATATTGCTGATTATATAGGCGTTTCTATGTGATATTATTCATAGTATTTGTAAATTTGGAAAGAGAAGATTTATTGTGATGAGAAGTAGAGAAGTTTTTACACAAATATTGCATGAAATATTGTTAGTTAGACTTTGCCTGAAAAGTGAAATCTAGTGAAAATTAACAGCTTGTTTATGTGACGACTTTCAGTTTTTGATCTAAAGTAATTTTGTTGAAAAGTAGATTTAAACGTACTAAAGTTAGTACAGTTTTATATTATTATAGTTACCTTTAACTGTTACAGTTAGCTATGTCTCATAGTAATACAAATAGTGATAGTGTCAGTGATAAAGTTGGAATGCTGTGTTGTGAGAAAGGAAAAGGAGAACCAAATTGTATCGTTGAAAGTGAATTGAACTCTTCAGAAGCTCAGAGACACTTAGTCTATAACAAAGTACTTCCTTATAGTGACAAATTAGATGATGAATCTGAAAAGCTTTTATCCGAGGTTAAAGGCAACCTTGGGAAAGCCATTTTGATGCGTGAAATTGTTCCTGGAACAGGATACTGGACTTCTCACTTAGTCAAGTAAGAAATCAGGAGAAATATATTTTATGGTTATATTATGATAGTGTAATGCTAGAACTAGTATTGGAAAGACTTTTTGATGAATGAAATATTGTAGTAAACTAACATTAGCAAATTTTGAACTTAAGCCATGAGATAGAGAGAGGTAATTTGCATTTTGTGACACATTTGATTTGTACAAAAGTTTTATATTTTTTCATAGTATGCCAAAAAGTGAATGATTATTTTTAATGTAACATAATATACAGGCAGTAAGTGACCATATTGTCTTTCAAGGCTGTTTCTGCACACCCACCTTTAAGAAAAGTTAAATTTAAACTCACCTTTATTTTTCAGGAAATCATTGATTCCCCTGATAAACTTCTGCAAAGTCTTGGTCAATCCAGTATCCAATCACCCTGTTAGAAAAATAAAGCAGTTTTAACTAGAACCTAACCAGTCTTTTTCTAACTACTAAACTTTTGTCTTTTTTTATTCAGTTATCTTCAGAACATAGCACAAGAAATCAAAGTCTTTTAGTCTATTTTTAGTATTGATCCCCATTATAATCTTATAAACTTCAGTAAGACCAACTCTTACCCTTCTTTTTTCAAGAAAAAGTAGGCTAAGAGGTCTTAATGTATCCACATAAGATAACTACATCTGTAATATCTCAAAATTTAAAAGTTATAAGAAATAATAGATTATTAAAATTTGTCTTCTAGAATGTTAACATATCTTTTTGAGTAACTTGGCAAACTTTGATCTCATAATTCTGAAAAAAAAAATGGAAATGATGTAAAAGATGCATAAAAATGCCATTTCAGTACCACAATAGTCTATTATCAGCAGTTATTGATAACTTTTACACCACTTTTTTTAATGTTTGGTAGTCGTGTTTCCTAGTGTACTTTATGGCATACCAAATCTATTACAGTTGAATTGGTGAGAATGTGTGATATGCTTCTAATAGTATCAGCGAATTACTCATTCAGTAACATTACAGATTTATTATACTCTTACATTTGATGCTGCTACTTGTGAAATAACTTCAGATATTCAACAAAGTTCACATAAGAATTGCCAGAAATACAAGAAAGATCTATCGTATACCCATTGACCACAGGAATGTGGCATTATGGATGATAAATTAAGATGTCCTTTATTAGAGGGGCTGAAAGAAAGGATTTGATTAATAATTATGACTTAAAGAGGGTAGAGGATGCAGACATTAATGAATTAAGGTACTTAAATTAGATACCAGTAAAAATTAGCCAGGAATATAGGAAGGAAATATACCTTTGGGGGAAATTGTAGGAGAAAATAGTAAAAATGAAATATGTAATGTACAGAGAATGAAAAAAGAAGAGTGATGAAATGTGATGAGAAAGGATATGAAGGACAGCCTTGAAGATCAACTAGAAAAATTAATACATTGTGTAGTTAACCAGGCATTAACTACACAATGTATAATTGTTAAGGTTTTTCAAAAAAGATCACATTCACTTTATTAAACTAGTGTTTGAATTAATTATTTTTTCAGACATAGATTTATATGTAATTTCATAGTAGAAGAAGGCTACTAGAGAATTATCCCAGAGCTAGATGAGTTGGTATACAGTATGAATATAGGTTAAGATTTCTTAATTTGTTCTGTCTTGAAGAAAGAAGGTTAGGAATGATCTAGTTCAAGTACTTAAAATTATTAATGGAATTGATTATATTGATGTATCAGATTTTTTGTTCAACTCTGTGAACAGTATAATAAGAGGACACAAGTTTAAGAATTGTAAAGATCAAATACATCTCTGTTTCAAGCAATTTTATTTTTCCAGTAGGTGATAAATCTGTGGAACACATTGCCATCAAAAATGGTAAAATCTGAAACTTTTTAGGAGATTTTTTTAAAAAAAAGGGTGATGAATATTTGGGAGATTGGGCCTGGATTTAGTGATTAGTTTTCTGTTTCTTGAAAAAATTGGTGGACCTGATATTGTTGAGGGACCAGAAAGTCCCTTGATGTTTCACAATTTATAATTCTTTTTTTAAAACTTAAGCCAGTCATTTTTTGGTTTAAAGTAAAGATTACAGAGATTTTTAATATTAAAATTATGAAAGAGAATGCAAGTTTATATTTCATGAGAAAATGCACCCTGAGATAATACAATATGTACACTGCCCAAAACATTCAAAGGGCCATCAGAGTTTTCTGTATTTTATTTATGATAAGACACAACTGCTGTTATTAGATAATGTTATTAGCACACCTGGGTTAATTTTTTACAAACAAGTGTCAGATAACTAATAGGTTCATCTAATATGCAAACATTTATTTCAGTGTTATATAACAATGAAAAAAAAAGAAATACAGTGTATGAGTTGTATGTTAGAATTTGGTGAAGTGTACCAAAACTGGAAAAAATACCTTTGGACATTTCCATTACACGTAGAGCAATAAATTAGGTAAACGTTGCTGTAACAGTCTAATCCTACAACTAATCACAGAGTAGCTACGAGTCACACAAAGTGTGGTTAGCCGTTGCATTTTGAGACACAAATATTATTGACTAGAGAACCGAACAGGGTAGATCATTGTTAACGGTCCTGCGACTTGACTTCTGTTTGACAATATGGGGTCAATGAAGCCAGCAGGTCTCAGCTTCCAAATGAATCAACAGTTTAAAGAAGCAACTGGATGATAAGTCAGCATGCAAACAGAAACAAGAAATATGTTTCATAAGGTTTGGCCTTTATGCACGCCAATGTTGTGCATTCTTCTAACCCATTGACACAAACAGTACATCTTTAGTGTGGTTTTGAAACACTCTGTACATCACCACAAGTTTCTTAATAAAATTTGTAAATCTTAATGTGTTTCTGGTAAAATTTTGTTATCCTAGGATAAGCAGTTTGAAAGATATACTCTGTAATCAGTATATGCATGGTGCTTTCTTTATAACCATCCTCTAATTAAAAGAACAAAAAAAAATATCCAAACAAACAACCTTTGTAAATTTGAGATTCCATTTATAAATCCAGATATATTTAATTGATATTTGGCCTACATTATACTCACTAATGTAGCATAACATTTTTATTGGTTATCAAATCACAAGTATTTTTTCTTTCTCTCTTGGTAAAGCAGTGCATATTTCTTTTGAATACAGTTGTTTTATATTTAATTGTGTGTTATCATGTTTAACCAAATAAACTATCTTTGCAGCTAAGAACAATTTGCATGTTTTTGCAAGTATTCATACACAAGTATTTTTCTAGTTTCTTAAACTTAATGTTTTGTTTCAGATATATCCGACTATATGGGCGAAGGTTTTCCAAGGAAGATCACATTCACTTTATTAAACTAGTGTTTGAATTAATTATTATTCCAGACTTGGATTTAAATGTAATTTGTCATCTGGCTCAACTTCTGAATCTCCTCCTCAAGTAAGTCTTTTTTTTTTCTGTAGTCTTCTCACATGATACAATATAACACATTAACTGCTGCAATGTTTGGCATCATCTATGACAAGTGCTGAGAAGAGTTTTAGTGCAATATCATTGTGTTTTCAGTTTAAACAATAGCAGTAATAACATATCTAAAATGTGCATCCTCACCAGTGAACATGTTAAGTTTTTGTTTAAAAAAATCACCAATTGGGTAGGTTAAAAGAAAAATCTATAACTTACTTTGAATGTTATGGTTGTTACTACTTCCATCTAAAGTTACAAATGTATTGTTAATTACATAAAATACTGTATTTGTCTACTCAGGGGTTTCTCCTAATTTTTTAGGTGAATATGTCATTTATTGACATATTTTAGCCTTTAGGGTTTCCTGTGATTTACTGCATTAAATGGATTGATATGTACTAATTGCATGTTTTTCTACTTTTACTCCTTTGAGCTTATGTATTAGGAATATGCCATTTTGTTTGATAAGCCTACATTTTTGACTCCATTATTTTATTAATATATATGATTTTTTTCTATTTATGAATAACTTGATTTTATTTGGGTTAATTAGTATTAAACAACTCTACCTGTAACCTTTGCCCTATGAATTGTTTTTGGTAGTGATTATACTCCCCAAACATAATTTGTATTAATAATCTCAGATCTTGAATAAGCAAAGATGAAATAGGCAGTAACTGCCTAGTTCAAAGAGACACTTGTGGAGAAAGTCTTGGAGGACTAATCTACAAAGGTAGCACAGACGAAAAGGATGGTGTTTTGAAAGACTTCCATCTTTCATCTTCAGGAAGTTTTTGAAATGTCGTCCTTTCCATCTGTGCTACTTTTGTAGATTAGTTCTTCAAGACTTTCTCCACAAGTGTCACATTGAACTGGGCAGTTACTGCCTATTTCATCTTTGTTTGTTCAACATGAACAGCAGTTGCTGCCTATTTCATTATTGTTTGTTCAACATGAAGAGCAGTTACTGCCTATTTCATCATTGTTTGTTCAACATGAAGAGCAGTTACTGCCTATTTCATCTTTGTTTGTTCAACATGAAGAGCAGTTGCTGCCTATTTCATCTTTGTTTGTTCAACATGAAGAGCAGTTGCTGCCTATTTCATCTTTGTTTGTTCAACATGAAGAGCAGTTGCTGCCTATTTCATCTTTGTTTGTTCAACATGAACAGCAGTTGCTGCCTATTTCATCTTTGTTTGTTCAACATGAAGAGCAGTTACTGCCTATTTCATCATTGTTTGTTCAACATGAACAGCAGTTGCTGCCTATTTCATCTTTGTTTGTTCAACATGAAGAGCAGTTACTGCCTATTTCATCATTGTTTGTTCAACATGAAGTGCAGTTACTGCCTATTTCATCTTTGTTTGTTCAACATGAAGATTCTGCCTAAATCCTCTATATAGAATCACAGACCTTTATGTTTTGTAGGATAATTAATAAAAGCTATGCCATTTTATAATCTTCTAGCACAGATAACAGATGAAAGAGCTTTTTTGAATACTTTGTGAAAGATTTTGTAGAAAATTAAAATAAGTGTGTTTCGGTCAACAATTATTAATCTTCTGTACACGTCACGTATAATGCTATATGCATTTTTTGAATCAGTGAGAATGCTTTAGATTATACCACAGTAAAGATGGCGAACTGTTTCTTCTCACCCATTAATGAGATTTGCTTATTCTTAAATAATAGAATGAATGTTTTTTTTTGTTAAATTATTTAAACTTTATCCATAAATACTAAAAATATTGTTGTATAAAAATGTTTCCTAGTTAATCGTCACAAACTATGTGTGTATGTAATACAGGGAGACTAACTTGAAAATATATGCTTTATTATTTTATAGGTAGCTTAGGCAGAGTGTTCATATTGAGTTGACTCTGAAATGGAGGGCAACTGTCTATTATAGAAGCACTTGTAGAAATATATTGGTGACTATACAATCTACTCATGCAACTCAAGTGTAGAAGACAATATTTTGAACGTCTTTCATCTTCAGGTCAAAAGGCAGATTTTTGAAATGTTGCCCTCTACACTTGAACTGCATAAGTAGATTGTACAGTCAACTCTATACTGTTTATTTTGCTTTTCAACATCTGATTGAGTAATTTATTTTTTAGGCACATTGTGGTACAGTATATTAAGAGTAAAATGCATAAACATTTTATGACACAATGAAAGATAAACTTTTATTTTTTTCAGTCAACTGGTTTTGATAACATAGTTACTAACATCAAGCTCTGACTCACTCTGTAAAGTAGACATAAGTAACACAACTTGACTTCAACTTGAAGCAGTGTCCACAGCTTCGATATATTGGACATAGTTAACTCAGTTATGAGAACTCATCTTGAAGCAGTGTACACAATGTGGATATGTTGGTCATAGCTAGCAGAACTATAAAAGCTCACATTGAAACAGTTTTATTGGATCTTTGTCTGTCTATGAGTCAGATGTAATTTCTTTTTTCATTGTGGGATTGTGGTGATCAGAGATATAGCTCACTTATTTTAAATTTATGATGGTGTTAGATGTTGGAAGAAGTTTTGTTTTTGAGAATGCCTTATCGCTGTCAACTAATCTAAATTAGGGTTTCTAATTATTAACTGGTCTTCATTATTACAACTATCCAAATAATCAAAATATTGCTGTTATGTTCATTTGTTCTTATGCACAAGGTACATACTCGGAGGAGGTGCATATTTTAAATGGTAACTGCATGGTGGTAGTTAGCTATTCATTCACCAAGTAAGAAATGCCCAATTTATATAAAAAAAAACTATGGCACAAACATTTTATACACAAAATACACAAATGGAAAACTTCAGAAAAGGTTTGTGATAGGAAGCCAAAAGTAATTTGAAAATCATTAAAAAACAACAACAAAAGCTTGTATGATGGGGAGGGGGTGGTGGTGTAGGGGGCATGTACTATTTGATTAATCAAGTGCATTTGATTAATGAGCCCTTTGATTAATCAAATGAAAACAGTTAATGAGCTCCGTAATTAATTGATTAACAAATACCAGTAATTGCCTGTCTCTAATCGTATCCTACATGGATAAATCATTTAGGATTAACAAAACATGTATTTTATATTTATGTGTGTAATTTTGTTTATAATTCTTGGTTACGGTTAGGTATTTTCCAACATTGTTTCACTGTTATGACTGACTCATTCAAGGTCCTTACTTCTACTTCAGTTATCAGTTCAGAGTGGATATCCTCTATTTCTCTTATATATTTTTTAGTTACACTAATCCAAACATTCTTTCAACCAATCATGATGCCTTCATCTTACATTGATGCTTTATGAGAGTAACTAGGTTTATAATGTTTTTAGTACATTTTTTGTTTTGGTGCACATTAGCATTTAGTTTTTCAATCAATTCTTCAGCTTTGTTGTGAGTG